TTGTTTTTTTAAAAATTTTTTTGACAGAGCCAACTAGGGGGGAAAAACCTCCTTGATTGGTTCTTGCCAGAGGGAAACACAATTTAAAAATCTGAGGGGAATGATGAGCTGGGGAAAATGATACAAATCACTCAGTTTTTAAAATATATGGGAAATTTCCCTAATAATGGCAATCAAGTCTCCGTCCCTGACTTTCACTTGGCTGATTTCATAGGACTGAAAAATTACTTAGGTGGGCTGAACTGGAATGACCTGACTAAGGGTCAGGTAGGTGGTGATGGTTGCTGATATGATGCTTTCCAGGGCATAGTTCTAGCTGCTCAGTCAAATTATGTTCCAAATAGGGAAATCAGATCAAACAAAAATGATCCTAAATGGATGAAGAATAGATTAAAATATCTGATTGGTCAAAAGAGAGGCATATACAGTGGACCCCCGCATACCGGACGCATCGCATACCGTACAATCCGCATACCGGACGCTTTGATCGCAAAAATTTTGCCTCGCATACCGCCCAAAAACCCGCTCACCGCCCTTCGTCCGAGACGCGTCCAATGTGCGGCCTGAGCCACGCTCACATGTTCCGCCGGTGGCATTGTTTACCAGCCAGCCTCCGCGGTAACATCCAAGCATACAATCGGAACATTTCGTATTATTACAGTGTTTTTGGTGATTTTTTTCTGGAAAATAAGTGGCCATGGGCCCCAAGAAGGCTTCTAGTGCCAACCCTACAGCAATAAGGGTGAGAATTACTATGGAGATGAAGAAAAAGATCATTGATAAGTATGAAAGTGGAGTGCGTGTCTCCGAGCTGGCCAGGTTGTATAATAAACCCCAATCAACCATCGCTACTATTGGTGGTACAGCTGCTGCTGTACCACCGTCAGCTGCTGCTGCACTGTCAGCTGCTGCTGCTGTACCACCGTCAGCTGCTGCTGCTGTAGCATCGTCTGCTGCTGCTGTAGCATCGTCTGCTGCTGCTGTAGCATCTGTCTGCTGTCTGCTTTTAGCATCGTCTGCTGCTGCTGTAGCATCGTCTGCTGCTGCTGTAGCATCGTCTGCTGCTGCTGTAGCATCGTCTGTTGCTGCTGTAGCATCGTCTGCTGCTGCTGTAGCATCGTCTGCTGCTGCTGTAGCATCGTCTGTTGCTGCTGTAGCATCGTCTGCTGCTGCTGTAGCATCGTCTGCTGCTGCTGTAGCATCGTCTGCTGCTGCTGTAGCATCGTCTGTTGCTGCTGTAGCATCGTCTGCTGCTGCTGTAGCATCGTCTGCTGCTGCTGTAGCATCGTCTGCTGCTGCTGTAGCATCGTCTGTTGCTGCTGTAGCATCGTCTGCTGCTGCTGTAGCATCGTCTGTTGCTGCTGTAGCATCGTCTGCTGCTGCTGTAGCATCGTCTGTTGCTGCTGTAGCATCGTCTGCTGCTGCTGTAGCATCGTCTGCTGCTGCTGTAGCATCGTCTGCTGCTGCTGTAGCATCGTCTGTTGCTGCTGTAGCATCGTCTGTTGCTGCTGTACCACCGTCAGCTGCTGCTGCTGCTGCTGTAGCACCGTTGTTGGTGTGGCTTATTGAGAATACCAAGAAACAATTAACCCCAGAGGATTTGCCACCCAGGATAACCCAAAAAAGTCAGTGTCATCGAAGACTGTCTAACTTATTTCCATTGGGGCCCTTAATCTTGTCTCCCAGGATGCAACCCACACCAGTCGACTAACACCCAGGTGAACAGGGAAAATGCCTGAACAGTGCTCATATTGGTGAATTTAGACCCAGCAAAGGTTGGTTTGGAGATTTAAGAATCGTAGTGGCATACACAGTGTGATAAGGCATTTTTCTGGAAGAAAATGCCAAACAGGACCTACAGTACTCGGGAGGAAAAGGCACTCCCAGGACACAGTGTCTCATCAGTCATTGTTTGCATCTTCAATAAAGGTAAGTGTCATTTATTCTTCATTTAGTAGAGTAGTACATGCACAATATATATTGTGCATGTACTACTCTACTATTGTGCATGTATCCTTCTCTTTGTGTGTAGGAAAATGTATATTTCATGTGGTAAAAATTTTTTTTTCATACTTTTGGGTGTCTTGCACGGATTAATTTGATTTCCATTATTTCTTATGGGGAAAATTCATTCGCATACCGAACATTTCGCATAACAACCAGCCCTCTTGCACGGATTAAGGTCGCTATGCGGGGGTCCACTGTATAGGCAAATCAAAAGAGGAGAGGGGCAATTAAGAAATCGATATATTCAGTTAAAGAGAGAAATAAAAAAGGGAATTAGAAAAGCAAAAGGAGATTATGAGGTTAAAGTTGCAAGAGAATCGAAGACTAACCCAAAAGGATTCTTTCAGGTATACAGAAGTAAGATCAGGGGCAAATAGGCCCACTCAAAAGTTTCCTCGGGTCAGCTCACTGACATTTAAAGGGAAAAGTGTAGAATTTTTAACACATACCTTCCTCTCAGTTTTTACACAGGAGGATACCAGCGATATTCCATAATGATAAATTATGTAGAACAGACGATAATAAACTGTGCACGATTAGGTCACAAGTGACATGGTCCTTAGGCAAATAGATAATTAAAACCTAACAAAACCCCAGGCCCTGATGAACTGTATGCAAGGGTTTTAAAAGGAAAGTAAAAAGGAGCTTAGCACACCTTTGGCTAATCTTTTCAACATATCACTACAAACTGGCATGGTGCCAGATAAGTGGAAAATGGCAATGTGATACCTATTTTAAAAACAGGTGACCAGGTCCTTAGCTTCGAAACTATAGACCAATAAGCCAACCTCCATATGGGAAAATTTTTATGGAATCAATAATTGCCGAGGCAGTTCGTAGCCACCTGAAAAGCATAAAATTAATCAACGAATCTCAGCATGGTTTTACAAGGGCGTTCCTGCCTTACGATTTATTACTTTTTTCACTAAGGATTTGGGAGGTAATCATGGTAATGAAATGATATTGTGTATATGGACTTCAGTAAGGCTTTTGGACGGGTCCCACATCAGAGACTATTGAGGAAAATTAAAGCACATGGAATAGGAGGAAAATTTTTTCCGGGAAAGGCATGGTTGACAAAAAGGCACAGAGAGTTTTGCATAAATGGGGAGAAATCAGAGTGGGGAAGCGTCACGAGCGTGTTCCACAGGGGTCGTGTTGGGCCCCCTGCTGTTCACAATCTACATAAACGACATAGATGAGGGCATAAAGAGCGACATCGGCAAGTTTGCCGATGACCCAAAATAGGCCGTCGAATTTTATTCTGACAAGGACATTTGAAACACTCCAGGAAGATTTGAATAGACTGATGCAGTGGTCGGAGAAGTGGCAGATGCAGTTTAATATAGACAAATGCAAAGTTCTAAATGTTGGACAGGACAATAACCATGCCACATATAAACTAAATAATGTAGATCTTAATATTACGGATTGCGAAAAAAGATTTAGGAGTTCTGGTTAGCAGTAATCTGAAACCAAGACAACAGTGCATAAGTGTTCGCAATAAAGCTTCATATCAAGAAGCATAAATAATAGGAGTCCTCAGGTTGTTCTTCAACTCTATACATCCTTGGTTAGGCCTCTTTAGATTATTTCTGCCCCAGTTTTGGTCACCGTATTACGAAAAGGGTATAAATTCTCGGAAAATGTACAAAGGAGGATGACAAGTTGATCCCATGTATCAGAAACCTTCCTATGAGGATAGACAAGGGCCCTGAAACTGCACTCTCTAGGGAAAAACGTAGAATTAGGGGGGATATGATTGAGGTGTTAAATGGAAGACAGGAATAAATAATGGGATGTAAATAGTGTGCTGAAAATATCTTTGCCTAACAGGGACTCACAGCAATGGTTTTAAGTTGGAAAAATTCAGATTTAGGGAAAGGGTATAGGAAAGTACTGGTTGGTAAATAGAGTTGTGGATGAGTTGGAACAAACTCCCAAGTACAGTGATAGAGGCCAGAACGTTGTGTAGCTTTAAAAATAGGTTGGATAAATACATGAGTGGATGTGGGTGGGTGTGAGTTGGACCTGATAGCTTGTGCTACCAGGTCGGTTGCCGTGTTCCTCCCTTAAGTCAATGTGACCTGACCTGACTAGGTTGGGTGCATTGGCTTAAGCCGGTAGGAGACTTGGACCTGCCTCGCATGGGCCAGTAGGCCTTCTGCAGTGTTCCTTCGTTCTTGTGTTCTTATGTTCTTATGTTCTAAACCCTTTGCTGTGAGTCCTATGTTGTTAAGATATTTTCAACGCGTTATTCAAATTGCCTTTACTGATTAGTGTCTTCCATTTGTATACTTCAGTTATTTCCCTCCTAATTCTACGACTTTCCCAAAACTGCAAATTCTGTCTCCTCTGTCTTCATAAGATTTTTGATACATGGGATCAACTTTGTTTTCCTTTTCTATACGTTATCAAGCGCACTGATGTCCATTCTTAAGTTATTATGTAATATAGAGACCAGAACTGTGTGACATAATCTAAAGCATAGCTTAAGGACTCCTATTATTTATACTTCTTAATATGAAAATAATTATATTGGCAAGATTGAGGCACGATAGGAGCCTTTAAAGTGAATTCAAATTGAATATATTCATATAAAAATAAACTGCACTGGTTTGACTCGTGATGCAGACGAGTGAAACATACTGCCACACTGCGTCATTAAACAATGGTTTTGAGAAGAATTAAAAATATATGTATGTGCACGAGTGAAACAAGACCGAGTGTACACAGGACCCTAAACACATGGATCAGCTGACCTACTGCTGAAATTTCTTCAGTTACGTGAGATAGGTACTTTGTCCCTGGATACGAGGACCTCTGGTTCAGATTTTCATTTATTGGCTTATTCGTCCTATTTTCATCTCTCCATCTCCTCACTGCAGCCTCTTTCCATGATCATCCTATACTAATTAAAAGTCAATATTACCTAGACGGCAAATATTGCAAAGTTAAGAGATAACTGAAGAAATCTTCTCTAGTCTACAAACCGTGCTTGAAGTTTGTTATTGTCTTGGACTCCTGAAGCAGACGATTACCCAGAGATGTTTCCCGAGCCTCAGAAGGAGGCACTAGTGACGTCATCAAATGTTTAGTACTGTTTCCCGAGCCTCAGCAGGAGAAACTGGTGACGTCATCAAATGTTCGGCATTTTCCTGAGCCTCAGCTGGAGTCACTGGGATGTCATAACAAAATTAGTGGAGCAGCATTAAATAATAAAAAAAAAATTGTTTCCAGAGATTAAAATAGTTACAAATACAAGTAGTTATAGTAATAGTTACAGTCAACTACTATTTTGCATTTGTAATGCATACAACCCTAATGGAAATAAGTAAGTCACTTCGTTTGATTTTTGGGGGTTATTCTAAGTAAAACAAAGCAAAAAAAAAAAAAAGTAACACGGGTGGGAATAGAACCCGCGATCAGTCTCTTTGAGACTCTCTGATCGCGGGTTACACTCCCGCCCGTGGTATGGTTTGTTTGCAATCGTGTCATTACGATTTCGCGAGTCATGTTATTCTAGGTAATTTACACGTGTTACTATGTATAATAACTGTAGTCACAATTGTGTGTAACTATACTTCTGTGTACCTGTACCTAAATATACTTGCATGCTTGCTTGCTCAATTACAGTACGGGAAAACTCATTTTTTGTGCAAATTGTCATTCTGGGAGACCTGACCAGACGTTACCTAAAACCTTGGCCACACCTAACATCTAATCTACCCAATTTTCGTTAATAGCTCCATAAATAAAAATTTGCACATGAAATACCTACTTATTTCATGATACACAGATTGTATGTACTGAGAAATTTAAAATAATAACAGTTCCGCTGAGGCGTTATCAGTAACTACAGCCATAGTTACAAAAGTTGAAAGCAAATTTTGGAAAACCATTAAGTATGCAGAGCATATAGGGGATCCTAAAACCATAATTTATTAGGACTTAAAATTAAGAAAAAATGTTGAAGAAAAGCAAAAATGAAAATGCATATGGGGTTACTTGAAAGTTATATTTGTACATGTAACTAGGTACAAATCACGCTTACATAAATTAATAATTAGGTGGTGACAAAAGTACACGAGCATGTCTGCATGGATGCTAAGTCAGATGAAACAGGTTACGATAGGTGCTATAGAAATTAACCTGCGCTTAGCAGACTTGTGACGACGTTTTGGCTCGTCCTGGGCATTTGTCAAACTGCAAGTGAGCGAGAATGTCCCGTAGCTTTATTGGTAGTGCACTCAGTTCTCACAATGAGGTCCGTGGTTTGATCCCCAGTAAGAGGAAGGTGTTCTGGGATCAACGCCCCCGCAGTCTTGTCCGTATGCAAACTAATGTATGAACCATAGCCCGGCTGGTCAGGTACCGACTTTAGGTGCCTCAATAAAAAAGGCACAATACCGTGACTGGAACAATACACAAATAACCCGCACATAGAAGAGAGGAGGTTACGACGACGTTTCGGTCAGACTTGGACCATTTACAGTCACACTGTGTGACTTTGTAAATGGACCAAGTCGGACCGAAACGTCGTCGTAATCTCTCTATGTGCGGGTTATTTGTGTATTAATATTTGTGTATTGTTTAGGTGCCTGCCCCTCTCCCTCTTGAAGACAACCAGAAGTCTATTGGTAATCCCCCTTATGTATGCTGGGAGGCAGTTGAAGTCTTTGGGCATGTTCTGTTTAAGCTGTAGCATGTACCTGTGGAAGTAATAATAGAAAGCCACTAAAAATGATAAAATATTCGCCAGGAACAAAGTCCTGACATGGGTCTCTTGACAGATGTACCGTTCAACACTTTACAGCGGGGGCATCCCTATGACAAGGGCATGGCGAGTTTCTTTGGAGTAGGTGGAGTACTATTTATAACCCTATGGTGGGGGACAGCTCTACAAGAGCACCATGAGCATTTGGTCAGGTGGAGTACCATTTACAGCTGTATGGTGGGAACAGTCCTTTGATAAGGGTGCAGATTTTCTTTGATCAAATGGGGTACTTTTACAGCAATATGGCGAGGGCATGGTCTTCAGCACAAGCAGTGAAGCAGTTAAGTACAATCGTCACAGACACTCCATAGCTGGGGCACAGAACACCATCAGTTCAAGTGTTGTCTTAGTCCGACGTGTACGATGGTGCGAGTCATCTCAAACTCTACAGACTCGTCTGCTACCTTCCCAACTCACCCAGAGCTCATAGGAAGTAGCCGAGGTGTTGGTGCTGCTGCTGGAGTCAGGGTTGTATCTCTGGTGCCTTAGGTCTGGGGTTCCCAGTGTCTCTTTAAATTTCAAGAACTCTCCCATTGTAGCCAACTCCAGTGCTATGTCAGTAGCCAGAGTATATGGGTGACACAGGAGGTTCTAGCCACTAGAAAGAAGGGGAAGAATAATAGTAGTAGTAAGGGTGGTAGTGGTAGTAGTAGAATTACCAGTAGTAATGAGGTAGTAGCAGTGGTATAGTGTAGTAGCAGTGGAAGAATTAGTAACATCACAATCAAAAACAATCTACATTTCTAAGGAGCATACATGCGAGTTATAACGATCGTGTTTAGTTAGCTAGCTGTAGTAGTAGTAACAGTACTACAATCAAAACTAAGAGCTAAACCCATAAGGGTCATACAGTAGTAGTACATAATTACTGTAATCACAACTAAGCACTAAACCCAGTAGTACACAAGAATAAAAGAACACATAAACACTAAAAGGTATCTACACTGTGCAGAACTTTATAGAATAACAAGAATAAATTACATCAAGGCAGTGAAGATCAAAGTATCTGAACACTTTAAATCTGTTCCCAAAGGGATACAGAGAACTGCAATGGGCTTACTGGCCCATGCTAGGAAAGAAAATGAAGAGGAGGGGCAGAAAAGAGGAAAGGAAAGAAGAAAGATCAAGAGGAAAGGAGAGGAAGCAAAAGTCAAGGTATACTGAGAGAGGCAGGCATCTACAGAAATAGCCAGGACTAGACTCGTGTTAGGAATGTGTATAAGGGTTGATTTGACAAAGGTGTGAGAAGTTTAAAAGTTTTAGCAGAGGACCAGTTAATAAAATGGCTGTGATCTGTAACATGACAGAAAAGAGCACTGTTGGTGTTGGCAAAGCCAAACACTTCTTTCGAGCTCATTAAGTCAATCAGAAAGAGTGGCTAATTTTGTCAAAGTATTGAAGAGAGCAAGAGGAGCAGGAACTGGCAGCATCACTGACAGAAGTATGGACTAGATTACTACAAGGGGTGTTAGTTTGAAGTCGTTTAGAAGAATCATTTTCGAGGTACCCTAGAGAAAAAAATAAAATTGGCAAGTAGCACTTATAAGTTCTACAATAAGTTGAACCTTCCTGTATGTACGATGCACCAGTACTAAGTTTGAAGCTGATCAGAAGAGCCATTCGTTATCCCGTGATAAATGATCAACTATTTCTACAAGAATGCTTTACAACTGATGCAGTAAAAGATGTTATTGACACGTCACAGAAAATCCCTAGCAGAACATTTCTGTCAGCCTTAAAATAAACTTTATACTGTTAATACTTTTGGATTTTTTTTTCAAGCAATTTGTCGGAAGTTTTAATAACAATTTTCTCTAACATCTGTGGAGATTATTACAAATGTTGGTCAAATACAAATGCAACTACTGATCTTAGTAAATTTCAGTATTATTGTATAGGACATAATAAATTGAAGGCCCATTGAATGCAAAACCTAGCCTCTACCAACTACATATACTTAAAATTTACTCAGTTAATTCATATTAAAAATCACAATAAGACAATTGTCAAGCTCAGCAGGGTGAGATGCCTGTTTAATAGAAGATTGGATATCAGATTGGAAGGAGTATAAAGGAAGCGAGTGTGTTCAGATATTTGGGAGTGGACTTGTCCACAAACAACCCGCACATAGGAGAGAGGAGCTTACAATGACGTTTCGATCCGAATGGGACCATTTACAGTCACATGGAGAGTCAGTGTGACTTTTGTAGACAGTCCAAGTTGGGTCCATGAAAGACGAGGTGAACTACAGAAATAAGTATTTAGGTATTACCTGGAGTTTACATGGAGAGAGTTCCGGGGGTCAGCGCCCCCGCGGCCCGGTCTGTGACCAGGCCTCCTGGTGGATCAGAGCCTGATCAACCAGGCTGTTACTGCTGGCTGCACGCAAACCAACGTACGAGCCACAGCCCGGCTGGTCAGGAACCGACTTTAGGTGCTTGTCCAGTGCCAGCTTGAAGACTGCCAGGGGTCTGTTGGTAATCCCCCTTATGTATGCTGGGAGGCAGTTGAACAGTCTCGGGCCCCTGACGCTTATTGTATGGTCTCTTAACGTGCTAGTGACACCCCTGCTTTTCATTGGGGGGATGTTGCATCGTCTGCCAAGTTTTTTGCTTTCGTAGTGAGTGATTTTCGTGTGCAAGTTCGGTACTAGTCCCTCTAGGATTTTCCAGGTGTATATAATCATGTATCTCTCCCTCCTGCGTTCCAGGGAATACAGGTTTAGGAACCTCAAGCGCTCCCAGTAATTGAGGTGTTTTATCTCCGTTATGTGCGCCGTGAAGGTTCTCTGTACATTTTCTAGGTCAGCAATTTCACCTGCCTTGAAAGGTGATGTTAGTGTGCAGCAATATTCCAGCCTAGATAGAACAAGTGACCTGAAGAGTGTCATCATGGGCTTGGCCTCCCTAGTTTTGAAGGTTCTCATTATCCATCCTGTCATTTTTCTAGCAGATGCAATTGATACAATGTTATGGTCCTTGAAGGTGAGATCCTCCGACATGATCACTCCCAGGTCTTTGACGTTGGTGTTTCGCTCTATTTTGTGGCCAGAATTTGTTTTGTACTCTGATGAAGATTTAATTTCCTCATGTTTACCATATCTGAGTAATTGAAACAGATCCCAATCCGCCTGAGAATAAGCTGGAGAGGGGCGAACTGGAATGAGTATAGGATTTGAGGAAATATGGAAAATGATAGGAATGTGGTCAGATCCAGAGAGCGGTCCTGGTGTTGTGTAGTGATGTAAGCGATTTACTAGCTCTGTTTGTAAAAAATTTATCAGGGGTGCCTTGGCCATT